TTATTCCAAAAATATTTTTAAGTACCTACTAAATATCTGGCACTGTGGAAAGGACTGAGGCCCATTCAGAGAGTGCTGCCCTTGTGGAATTAGCCTCAAGGAGTACATTCATCAAATGTTTCTTTTGGCAGGAGTTCATCACCCATTATTCTCATGTAATGATCATAATAACCCTTTGAAATAGATATTGCCGAACCCATTGTGCAAATGGGAAAACTGAGGCTCAGAGAGAGCACATAATTAAATAAGGGTCAGGAATGGTAAGAACTCAGATGTGATCACAAATGTCTTGCCCTTTCCCTCTTTGGTCCCTGTCTACCTCTGCAGGCTGAGAAGGCCATTCTGGGTCCTGAACTTACAATGGGATCGAATCTAAATGAAAAATGCACAGCAATATGCCTGCCTTTCAGATTAGGAAGCCTGGAAATCCCAAAGGAGGAAATTGTTCTTTAACACTCTTATATCTGGAAATATTTTGAAACCCTTGAGAAGAGTTCTTATATCTTCTCTCCTCTTTCATTTCTGTGTCTTTTAAGAAACTCATGTTTGATTATGGATTGGGTGAGGATGTCTGGGTTATAGTCTCTAAGAAACAATAGACACTTCTACCCCACAGAGCCCTGAAACCATGCAGGTGCTGAATAATATTGAGTTCTAAAGACCTGGAGTCTTGAGTTCCTTTATTTCACCCCCAACAACAACATCTTGAAAGTATTTTCTCTGTGTCAGTTACATACACTAATCCTAAAAGAAAGATCTTGATATTTGGAATATGCAATGTGCTTTTTCTCCCTCAGCAAGGTGTGCAATTAATTCCTTATGTTCTCAAATAAAATGGTAGAGCAGAAAGTGTCTCTAGGTTCCCTAGAGCTTTCAGGCGCACAATAGGCATGTTCATGTTTTCATTTTCAGAAAAGATCATTGCATACCTCTGCATGCAGAGAGTGAGTAGCCAGGATTTCTTTCCATTGTTTTCCCAAAGAAGGAGTAAATGAAGTCATCAAGCCATCTGGTCGACCTTCTGCAGTCATTTACCATATCTCAGCAAACCACAAAGGCAAATAAAGAGAGCCACAGAAATAAGAATCCTGGGGAAAGTTTAAGTGTTAAAAGGTTATAATTTAAGAAAGGTGTGAATAGGAAAGGGAGCATAATCTCTCTATACCTCACATTCTCCTCACTCCACCTGTGCTTCTGCCTCTGTCCTGCTGTGCTAGTTTGTGCTTCTGACTCCTCATGATGACAGGTATTACTCATACCTGCCTACCTGAGGTAGAGACAAAGAGGGAAACAAATTATTGGGAATCTTCCTTTCTCTAAAAGCAGGCCTCTAACTCCCAGAGACTAAATAGCTTTTTCAAATCAGAATTTTGGGCAGGTAGCTTGAATCCAAGGTATAGTGCTATCTGCTTCTCAGGCCTCTGATTCTACCCACTTTCCTATAAACAGACAAGTTTAAAATAAAAAATACTTATTAAACTGGAGCATAAAATCAACATACTAATCATGAGAACTGGTATCTCATGTAAGAAGGAGCAAAATAATTTTTTTCCCAATGTTTCCTCTTCTCTCTGAGGTTTGACAGATGCCTTATGTGTAGGCTATGAGATTTGAGATGATTTGGGATTTGCCAGAGCAAATTCTGGATGTGAATAAGCATTCCTGGATGTGAATGAGCACATAGTAGGGAGATTTCTGAGTATACACCTGTGTATTATCATCTTGACTGGTTCAGGGAACCAATTTTGACCCCGTATTCACCTCCCCCAGCCCCACATTAACTAGCCGGCTGGCAGGGAGGGTTATCTTTAGTTATCTTATCACTTGAGGTTATCTGTTTTTAAAATATATTTTAAGAATCCTAATATGGCTGTTATTTAAGCATTTTGGTTGTTTTTTTGGGGAATATGGCCTTTAGCATATGAAATTTGATTGGGAAACTTTTATCTCTGGTAAACTTCATGTATTAAGTTTTATATTAACTCAATTTTTTTCTTTCTTAGAATACAGGAAAAAAGACAATGTGAATAAACAAAGACTATAGATGGAGTAGATATTTTAAGGAATAAAGATTTTTTGGATCACTTAAAACCAAAATGAGTACCTACTTTACCTGTTCATGAGGCAGAACCTAGTGCACTTTTTCAAGATAATAGTTGGTTTTCCCAGCTGCCCAGAATTTCTCAATGTCAAATAGGAGCTGTGCATGTTTCTCATACCCTATCTGATTTTACATATGTAGGAAGAAGGAAAAAAATTAAATTCATTAGTTATTGTAAATAACTTATTAAAACCTTGCCTCACTACTTCTTAAATGAAAGGATTTCTGCCCCTCTTGTATGAAGATCCTGGTAGCACCTATAGGGGGTTCTCATATAAGGTCACCCAAAGTCATATCCTATGTATGTGATTAATATAAAATTGGAGGCAGTATGGAAGTCTGGCAATTACAGGACAAGTCAGAATAACTCTAAAAAGTCTGTCATAGCTTCAAAGTCTCTCTGGGTGTAGCTTAGACAGGGCCTATAGGTGGCTCTACTTCTCCATAAGACCCATATTACTTCTTCACCTTCCCTTCCTCAGAAGTAGACTTCAATAGAAATTCTAATAAATTACCCTAATAAATACCCCTGTCACTAATCTCTGTGATATTTGCTACCAAGATGGTCTGAGAAAACAAGTGCTAAATATTATTGTTATTCAGTTAGCTGAGTAACTGTCCTTAGTAATAATAAAATCCATGACTTGTGGTAGTTAGGAGTTCACATAACTCCTGGCAAAAGGTGACCTCAAAATTATTTAAAATTTCACTAGTGACAAATTTGAATAACATTATCTGGCAAGATCGTTGTAGGCTTTGAGAAATTTGAGGAAAATATTAACTATAAGGCAAAAATCACATTGGCTACTGCTAAACTAAAGCTCTGGAAAGCAATAAGAAAAAGCTGAAAGCATTAATTTCCAGTTGAATACTTAGTGTGGAAACTAAGTATTTTAGAAAGGAAACAGAGAGAGCTGAGAACCAAGCCCAGGGTTTATTCTTCAGAGTAGCCCAACTCCAAAGAAAGGAGAAATCCAAACCTATACACTGGAGAGAAGGCTAATGGATGGCAATAGGGATAGGAGGATTCTCAGAGACTAGAAACCAAGTGGGCATATTAGCCACTAGAAGGTCACCCAAAGGGGGAAAGAATTATAATAATTAATGGTATAGTTAGAAGGGCAATAGGTTCTTACCTGCAAGGAATTAAAGAGAATTGTTTTGTGGAACATAACATGCGCATGGACAAAATAGTTGGGAAGCCAGAGGGATACTACTCAATTTGCACCATTAAAAAATATTAGGTATGAATGGTAAAAGTGATCACATTTTCCATAATCACATTGTTATTTACCCTAATTTACTGGATTCTAGAAGCAAACGACAGGTCTTCCTCACACTCAAGGGAAAAATACTGTAAATGGTGTGAGTATGAGGGCTACCCTAGAGTCTGTCTACCACTCTGGATGACCTGAAAGGCTGCCATTTTCAAGTATCCATATAAGGAAAGGGCTTTGCAGCAGCTTTATAGTGTGCTACAAATATGGTATTAGAGGAAAAGTACTGGGAATAGAGTTTATGTTGAATTTCTGTCAAAACTCAATGGAAAAATCAAAACACAAACGTTTAGATTCTAAATCAAGAGCATATAATCTGCATCAGATAATAATATAACTTCTAAAAATCAACTCCTGGTATGCTGCTGGGACCTAATAGAGATAAGAATCTATTGTATGGGGCATCAAGTGACCATGCTTCTGAAACTGCCTATTATGAACTGAGCTCTATTAAACCAATCAGCTTATAAGGGCAGGTAAGCCAGGTAATATTCCAGATGGAAGTGATACATTTTGGATTAAACATGGCCATTTAGAAGACACAAGGAAGCAATCTAGGCAGGAATTTGACCTCCTAGTTCATCTATCATCTATGCACCAGCACCTCTCCCTCAGCTCACACATCTGACTATACTGACCAGCTGAGGAGGGAGAGAAAGTCCATGAGTGCTTCACAAACACATGGCTTCAGGGGTTGCACTAAAACATGGAAGGGAGATAAAAACTTTTCCAGAGGCAACCCTGGTTATTCACTTCCCACGGAAAGAGAACTTGCTCACAGCTAGAATATATCCAGACTCTTGGGAAATGGAAAACGGCTTGAAAAAGCTCATCAAGGGTCTGAAAGGAGTTTGGAACATTGAGAATGAAGAGATCTAGAATAGAAGCATGTGGGATGAGTTTATGGGGGTGGCCATGAAGCCTGGAGATTTTCATGTCACATGTAGTTCAGTCAGAGTTCCATCTGGTAACAGAAACTACACAGTAATGTGAACAGGGAAAGTTCAATATAAAAATATTGACTAGGAGCAGGGGAATAACTACTATGAGGCTTAATTACTAAGAACTCTACAGAACTACAGGGATAAGTCAGTACCTCTAGTGCTGAGGCAGCATAACAAAGGAAGAAACAAATTCAGAAAGGGATCCCTCTCAAGACCTAATGGAGAAAGTGTGGCTGTGCTCCATTGCGTGGGGCGAAAGTTGAGGAGGGGCTGAAGGCCAGGATTGACAAACCAGGATCTACCTACTGAGGGGTTGAGGAAGTGCCCTGGACAGCCACCTGCTGGGGCAGGGACAGCCACATAATTAATTGGTGGGGTTAAGTGCCACCTAATTGGTGGGACGACTTATTCAGATGGCTGAGAAGGGGTGGCAAGGAAAGGACAGTATACAATACACAAAATACAATATAAATGCAACAAAATATGATACAATATAAAAATGGGTAACAAATTTATAATCACAAAAATTAATATATAGTATTATAAATAATTCTTTATTAATATTATACTTTAATCAATCATGAGATTTTTTCTGCCTCCTTTTTCTGCAAATTCATAAAATATAGCAATTCTATTTCAGTGTTATAATTAAATGCACTATCAATTTTTTTGGCAATGTAAAATCATAAATAATTTTTATTTTTAAGAAGGATCTTTCTGCATATACAACTGTTAAAGGAGCTTTTAGTAGTATATAGACTGTGACAACATTGGGATAAATTCCTGACAAATTATTTTGAAATATAAATTTTAGTACATCTAGAGTGTGTTTCTGAATCTTTTTTCTAAAAAGATTTAACTCTTTATATAAATAATTTTGTTGGTCTTAATTTAATTTTAAATGTAAATTTATAAATGGCATGTTAATGCTTTTTCTGACATTTCCTGTAATTTGTGGCGTTTGTACAAGAAACTAAAATGACTTCTTGATTTATGTATGATTCAAAATGCCTGCCATGTATTCTACTACTATATTTTCAATAATCAGAAAACACTTATTTAAAAATTGTCCTTCTTGTTAGTAATTGGTTCTTTGGAAAGTACATATAATAATACTATTTTTTTTTCCACTGAATGCAATGATCTTTGAGTTTAATTTCTACTTTAAGCCTATATTTACTTTCCAATCTTTTAAAAACCAAGGATTATAAACTCTTTAAAAAATTCTAACAATTGTCCAAAATGCTTTGTGATGTTTATGTTTTATTTACTAAAAATGTTTACCACCCTTTCCTGTTCTGATGCTCAGGTTAGTATTTGTGCTGAGGTCACAGGCACACGCTCTGGATATGGAGAGCAAGCTGATCTCTACCACAGTTTCAATGCTCTTATCTCTAGTATTGCATCCATGGGGAGTCTCTTTGCTTTTCCAGACCGTGGCTGCCACCATTGCTGCTTCTCTTGTTGCTACTATCCCAGCCCAGGCCACTCGTTTGAGGTGTTCAGGATCTCTGACTACTCTATAAATTCCTATGTGTACAAGGTATACTTATACTACCCATTGTCTGATGTGCATGCAGACCTGAGCCTGTGTGTGCACTATCATCTGGTTATCTCCTCTGCTCATACATGTTCCACTGTTCCATTGGGCTTTACTTACAAAGCATAAATACAAAGTCAAAAAAATTATTAAGAATTTCAAGACAGTATTAACAAAGTATTACATGAAGCACATGGCCAGTTCTCAGAGTGAAGTCCTTTGTAACTGCACTAGAGTTTTCATGAGGCTGGCCCTGTTGACAGAACCTTCCAGAAAGTTCAGAGAGTTTAAAGAGTATGGCATCAATGGGCATCCTGCAATCTTCTGGCTGCCACACTATCACAGGAGCAATCAGGGAAGAGCACATTAGGACCAGAAAAAGAAGTCCTTTTTTTTTTTTAACATCCCTCGAATTTCATGGTAGTATCCTCTGCTGACAAAGCTGCATATCCATATTGTGTCAGCTGATAGAGGGAAAATGTTCATAAGGTTCAACGCTAGCATCACAAATAGGATAAGAAGAAAAGATACAGAGAAATAAGGTGTTTACCTAAGACACTTTGAAATGAGTGGTGTCTGTAAGACTACTGTTCATAAACACTGTAATCTTGTTGTTTTTCCGAGGATATGGGCTAACAATTCTGAAACCAGAATACATGGATGCTGGAACTTGAGAATTAGAGTAAATGGATGGTGGAGTCAGATTTCTCATTATTTTAAAGAAAAGTTATAGAAAAGTAAGAAAGCTAGATTGTTCCAAGTCATAGCAGATTGGATTTAAGAGACATCAGTATGAACTCATGTTTGGCTTAATATAGAAACAGATGGGTTATATAAAAAGATATTTATAGATATTTATATACTCACAAATTACATGTATATATGCCTTTTATCTATTAGCTAAGAAAACCTAGAGGCAACAGCACTCTGATTATTACAAGCACAGCTACCACTTAATGTTGGTTTCTAGTATTATTCTCCAATCAAAGGAATCAGGGCTCTTAGGAGAGATGGATGATGTTAAGACTAGGCAAAACTACCCAAAGCATCTCTAGTACCTAAAATATAGAAAGTGCCCAAAGAAACAAACAAAACCCCACGGTGATGGGGGATGTCCAAATGGATCCAAATGATCAGAGCTAGAATGAGCTGAGCAACAAAATTAATATCCACTAGTATATAATGATAACAATAAATATTGAATAAATTAATAAATAAGACAGAAATGTCTCATGAAGAAAAATTCTGAATCATTTATGCAGCTATGCTACTCTCAAGGAGATAGAGTTTGAAAAGAGGACAAAAAGAGGAACTCACATCAGAGAAATCATCTCTGATGATTTCTCCAGCTAGGTAGGTCATTGAAGTTAAGAGCAATAGTGATAAGTCATGTTGATAAGATGCAATCTTTAACAAAATGTGATGTGACTGGACTTCAACCTCTGTGATCTTCTTCCCCAAAGCAAATTATCCAAGTTGAGTTGTGATAAAAATCCCCGGAAGTTCCAGTTGAGTAATAGTCTGCAGAGTATTGTACATATTCCTCAAATCTGTCAAAAATCAGAAAAAAACAAGGAAAATCTGAGTTCACTGTCACAACTGAGAGAGCCTGAGGAAATATGCATATTAAATGTGATGTGATACCCTGGATCACATCATGGAACAGAAAAGGACTTTAGGGAGAAACCAAAGAAAACCGAATAAAATGTGGACTTCAGTAAATGGTAATGTTGATGCTGTATTAACATAGAATTTTAATAAGAGGAAAATCTTGGTGAAAGGTATATGAGAATTCTCTGCACTACCTTTACAATTATTCTGTAAATCTAAAACTTCTCTAAAATAAAAGTTTATTTAAAAGAGTATAGATGTAAAACTGGACAATGGAAAGGTAATAAATAGATGACTGTACAACATGTCAGTGCCCTTCTGAGACACCTCCCAGAAGAAGTACTAACTACCGGTGATTTGATTCACTGCCCTCAGCCAGCCTCTGTCATCAGCAATCCCAGAGATGGCACAAGGAGCACCTGAGGGAATTGGCCACAGTGCCAGGAATGGAAGCTATGCATGGATCATCAGCATGATCTGCTTCCATGACTGAATGTCCCAGTTGCTAGTGACAGGGACAAACAATGGTTCTTATATTGTACCACCCTGCAGTGAGACAAAATGTCAACTTGGTATCAAGTTGGCCACATGGAACCCCTTTCACCCACAAAGGCTAGTTGATTCATTTTGATAAAATATTCTCATGTGAGTTTACTTTTTCTGCCTGTAGGACATCAACTATCACCACTTTCTAAAAACTTATAAAAATCGAATAATCCATCAACCTGGAATCCTAAAACAAACAACAAAAAAACCCCACATCTGATCAAGAGACACCTATGACCATGAGATTCACTCATCATCTTATAGATTATACACAAAAGCAACTGGCCTGGTAGGATATGGGGACTGCTTCAGAAAGGCTCAGTGAAAGTACCAGTGATATTTTACGAGATTATTTTAATTTGTGAGAGGGCTGTTATCCCTCACACTGTATAAACTTTAATTCAAAGATTGTTATGTGGCTCTCCATCTACAACAAGAAAAATACACAAGTAAGTCTTGATCCAAACAGTGAGAATAATAAAGGCTCTGATTGCTCTCATTCTCAGTGACACTGTCTGGGAGCTTGTGCTTCCCATCACCCACAATATTAGACTGTATAGGCTTAGAGGTCTCAAATCCCGAAAAGAGAACATTTCATCAGGGAAACACAATAAAAGCCCTATTAAATGATAAGTTGTAGATACTATGTGGGCACTTTGGGCTTCTTGTGCCAAGCTGACAACAGGCATTTGCTTCCTGATCAAGGAGGAGGTTGCTCTTACACAACGGGGCAGAGAGGAATTTGTTTACCACTTGGTTGATCTTTGGGTGCGTCTTGACATTTCTTTGTCCAATATTTGTTGTAAATGAGCAAGTGCATCCTGAAAGAGGTACTGTGGTCAGGAACTCAGGGATGTGGATCCAGGTCACTGAATCAGGGAGTAACTGGGGAAAGGAGAATCTAGAAAAAAAACAGTGGAGAAGGGTGACAATGAGTTTCATTGCATTGCTGAGGCCAATTGCAGTGGCAGGGACTGTAATTGTAGTGGTAAATTGTAATTTGACTCACAAACCTTTCTTTTCTGGATTTTTCCTAGGAAGAGAGAGGCCACTGGAATCCTGGAATGTTACTCCTTGAATACGTATGAAGCATTGGTGAGAGGGGTAGGGTGTGGTGGACACATAAATGTGTCCTCCAAATGCTCCTTCAGTCTGACTCCTGGAGGTTCAGGAGAACCTGTCAGCACCTGTAGGGATTTCTTCCACCTTGCTCAAGTTCATGCCCCTTCCTGGATGGTATCTATCTAATATTTAATAAGTGTGGGGTTCCTAAGGCCTGGATATCCCTGGCCAAACTCAGAGAGCCCTGAAAGCCATTGTAGTGCTAGAGCTGTCCTTGGAGGTAGGCTGCGACTGCTGTTAGGCTCACATTGCTGTTTAATTTCTCCCTCTGCCCAATCCTGCTTGCTTTCTTTTCCTTCTATGAGTATTAATCCCAATGGCATTCCTTAATAAACATCTTGCATTCTGTTCCCAATCTTAGCATCTGCTTTTCCAGGGAACTTGACTGTGACAAGTGTATACTAACTGCCAGGATCTATGGTTTACATTTGCCATTTCTGCTATTCCTCATAATACCTTGCAAGATGCTTTGGGTAATGCATAATTTTTAGAATTAGGGAGGAGAGCCTCAGAGGGTTACGAGTTTGTCTGGGATACTACTACCTATTGGTCTGATTTGAGTCCAAAGGTCATGTTTATTCAGTCTACCACACTAACTATAACTGTTGTAGGAAAAAAAATGGATGTTAATAACCAATTCCTATGACAGACCATACATTGCATTAGGTACTTGTACCCATAAGCATCATTCGAGCCAATTGAAGTAGAGAGTATTTCCCCCACTTTCATGATGTAATGTTTAAGACCAAGGCAAAGGGGTTTGTATTGTGGCTCAGTGGTAGAGTACTTGCCTGGCCTGTGTGAGGCGCTGGGTTCTATCTTCAGCACTGTATGTCAATAAATAAAAGATCCATTGACAACTAAAAAATGTTAAAAAAAAAAGACCAAAGCAAAAAGACTTTCATAGATTGGAGGTGAAGTTGTCTCTAGAACTCAGGTCTGTCTGATTCCAATGACAGTGATTTTTTTTTTCCAAATGAAGCTTCTTACTCTAAAAAACCTCCCAGACAATGAGAGATTAAAGGCCCCCAAAACACATTTACCTAGAAACTGTCCAAACTATGCAATACTTATTGAAATACTGAAGTGTTTACAGTAAAGATGTGTGTCTTGTCTCTCAAAGTGGGCTTTACAAAAATTTTCAGAGGTCTCCCATCAGCTTCCAAACCTTTATGGCTACCTATAATTAGGGAGCCTATGTAATTTATGACATGAAAGCATGACAAATGGTAGCAGTATGAGATAAGAGAGGTAAGTTAGGATGGCTATAAGCAACAGAAAGGAATGTTCACCCCTCTCTGGGGGAAAAAACGTGTTTTTTAGGTGTTCTTTTTAGGTGTTCATTCACACTTTGCTATGTTTCAAACTAAATCACACTAATAGGTGGGTTGTAATAGAAAATGCTTTGAACTGATTCTCTGAATGGCCTTAATGCATTAACTTTACTCTAGCAAATTCACCCATAATTCTCGCTTCTTAATCACACAGCAACTTGAGTTTCGCTCTGATATAAACACTGTGCATTTCCGATTTGTGGAATTGTTTTCCTTTAATTAAATGCACTGGGGAGGTGTAGTTATTTTCAACTCTCTGCACAAATTACTACCCAGTAGAAACCGAATAATGTATTGTAAGTAGTACTTATTCTATTTATTGTACTGTCTATTGATGTGTGTTGGACTTGTTCTATTTTGGAGGCACTGCCATGGTAACTGGGCTCCTGACAAAGGCCTGTGTCAGAGCAGAACTTGAACATGCAGAACATCAGATAAGTGACAAAATAAAGGATCAACCTCAGAAGGCTCAGAAATAACAATTTGAGGGATCATGCTTTACTCCTGAATATATTTCCCAAGAAGTCAGGAAGCCCCAAGAGGTAGTTCATGGAACATAGAGCTGTTCTTCATCAAAGTGGTAGAATGACGTCTATTTTTATAGTCTCTTCACTTCCCTAATCTAGAAAAGACAATGGAGAAGGATGACAATGAGTATGATTGTATTGCTGAGGTCAATCGCCTCAGCAACATCTGGGGCTCTGCCTCTAGTTCTGTTTGGAACTTTGTGTCAAGTTTGCAGCTCTAAACAGAAAGCAAAAGCTGGTTTTCAGTCTTCAGAGGGCCACAGGGACTCTAAATGATTGGCCTTGAGTCTACAGATGTGAGGATGTAGCCTGGTTGTGCTTTTAACCATACTGAATAGCTTCCCTAGACTGGGATTCTGTTTCCTAGCCATAAACTTGGATGCTCTTGGATAACTTGTGAGCTAACATTTTGTTCCTCTTAAAGCTGGTGCCAAGGGGGAGATGGGAAGGATTGATTGATCCATGTTTCTCTGTCCTGTGGAGAGTAGTTGATTTTCATGTCTCTAGGGACTGACGACACTATATGGAAGTTCAGAAGAGCAAATTACTATTGCCCCAAGATTTCCCTTTGCTTAGGGAAATTTCTCACTTTGCTTCCCAATTTCTCATTCTGGAAAGTAATCAACAAGCACAAGGAGTCACTGGGATCTACTCTTCCTTCTTCATCTTTCTCCCATCTTTATTCTCCTTCCTGAAATCCCTCAGGCTTTCAGAGCAGGCTTAGCTCAGTATCTGAGTCAGGCCCAAGAGTGTAAAGGAGCTCTTGTGCCCACAGGTGGTTATTAGCCCCACCACAACACTTGTCCTGTTTTTCAGAGTCAGAGTGAGAATTGATCTCCTCCTTTTCCAGAAGAGTTATAGCCATTGCTTATGGCTTGTGAGCTGAACTGTTCAGACTTGAATTCCATCTAGAAATAAGATGGTTGCTGTCTCTCTGGATCCCCCTCAAAGAGGCTAGAAAGGAACATCATGGTAAAGTTCTAGGTGTTGAGCCATGGGTCCCCCTCAGAGGGTGGTAAGCTATAGAAATGGTATCACCTTGCTAATTTCTGATCCAAGGAAGAAGAAATCAGGGCCCAGATAAAGGGAAAATGAAAGTTATCACTGTTTATTGGATAAACGGTCTTTTACTTTCCTGAAATAAAATTTGGAAGATTATCTAGGAATCACAACTTCTCATCTCAGCCATCATTTCTTACACCCAATATTTGAGAGGTGTCTGTGAGCTTAGGGCAGGCTTAGTGCCCCCTCCTGTTTTGTCAGTCAATGCTCCTGTTGTTACAGGAGCACTCCATATCCATTCCTGATCCTTAACATCCTGCCCCCTTCCCAAAAGCATTTCAGTTCTTGCCATTCTCATTTCCCCCTCTTTATCCCTAAGTATTACCCCTAAGGCTTGGCCCTCTCAAAGGTTGAGGGGCCCCAGGATCAAAAATAACAGATGTGGGTCCCAGATTTACAGCGGACATGGCTTACCTCTACTCTTTCACCCTTTCAGTTTTCTTTTATTGGTAATGGAAATCCCATCTCTCTCTTTGATCCTACATCTATTTCTCTTCCCCCAAATATGCCTCTACCAGAAACTACAGAAAGAACTGCGTCTCCACTCAGCAGACCTCTCTCTTGGGATCCTGGGCTATTTCCAGTTAGAGAATTCAGCTATCATGCTCTTACCTTCCTCCCTCATTTAATCAGTTCTTACTCCAGTTTGTCAAATATTCCCCTTGTCAATGACACATTTGCTATGTAGGGTAGGGGGAGGGAGCAGACTGGGACAACAGGTGTGGAGTTATACTATAGCTAGGGAGTCTTCTGAGGTTAAAAAGCAAACAAAAATATCCAGAGACTGCAATCTTCTTAATTTTTCCAGAGGGTAGAGTTCATGATTTAGGAAAAAAAAAAAAAAAAAAAAAGAGGGAGAGAGAGAAAAGACTTCTTGGATGTCCACATCTGGGGTGAACAAGTGTACAGGCGAGAGGAAGTGGGGGGCAGCCTGACAATTGCTAATAAACAGCTAGAGAAGACCAAAAGGGGGCTTTGTATTTTTAGGGGTGACGGAACACTTCCGGCCTATGAGGCTTGAGATGTTAATTATAGGACCTGTGGATGTCAGCAGAGATCTTTTAAAAGAATAACTTAAGTGCTTAAAAATCCCCCCAAGAATACAGAGCCCGTTTTAGAAATGGCCGTCAAAGACAACAAAAGTGAAATGCGCAAATGCTTTCTACGCAGGGTGGTGCTGGGCAACCAGCTTGCTGCGCAGCCTCCCCCCACGCTGTTGCTAGGAGACCAAAGGGCTATACTTCCATCATCTCCATACTTGCTGGGAGATTGAGTAATTGGTGTCTGGATGTGCGTGTGTTGCTTCCCAAAATATCTCTTTAAAAAGACGTGAGAGGGATGTGGAGCCAGTAGGTAGGATATTGAAGGGCAGACTGTGTCCCTTCAGGGCAAGTGGGTTCCAAGAGCCCTCACTGAGGCTGAGGAGGGTGGGGACCCATGCCAGGGATAGAAATGGGGAGCTGTTTTCAGTTTTTGCAGATTCTTTCCCATCCTCCACCTTGTTATTTCTTGAGTGGAAGCTGGAAACTGGTGGAGACAACTAAAATTTAGGGAGCATTATAGTTTTGTAGTTTCATTCTTACTGTTTGAAACACATTATGAAAGGAAGAAATCTTGTAATTTTGTTTTGTAGATATGGAAAGTCTAAGTGCACACCCGGTATAGTGCTTATTTTTAAGGGTTGAACCTGTTTTGTGAGAAAGGGTATAGAAAACAGAGCATTCACATAGACATAACTATACATGCATCTGTGCACATACTGCTCAGGCCCCCATGATGAATATTAATGCTTCAAGTTGCAAAGAGTCAGTGAAATATGCAATGGTGCCCACAACTCTGTAAATTGGAAAACCTGAGGTGAAACTTAGTCCTACCTCTAACAGCTTTGTAACTCTTCAAAACCTTCTAAACTTCAGTTTTCTGTTGCATAATCTGATGGGGTTTAGTTAAACATCCCCAAGGTTGAGCATTTTCAATTAGCTTTTTTAATTAGTAAGCAAAATCCAATTCATTGTTACACATTTTACACATTTTCAAATGTCTATTGCTGAAAATCTTGAAGAGTAGATTGAGAAGTAGAGTAACTAACTTTTAAATTTTGTTATTTTCCTTTCTGTCACATTTGTCATAAGATACTTAAATTGTTCAAATATCCAATTTTAACAAGATTTTTTTTTTTTTAATCAGGGGAAGAGGGTGGAAGGAAACAAAGAATTCAGGATATGTGGACACTATATTCTGATATTATAAGAATTAAGAATATGATAAGTTTTCCTTAAAGTAACTACCGGACTTTTGCTTGCTAAGGAATTCTATCAAGATTTAGGAAACTTACTTTCTAGTTCTAAATTTATCATTAATTCATGGGATCATGACTTTATCTGCAAAATGGGGAGAGGGGTAACCCTATGCTCTGGTCTTTGTAAGAATGTTAAGAAGGAAATTGCCATAATATATGTAAATGCACTTTGGAATATAGAAAGGGTGCACAGAATGTACTGCATTCTTTTCACTGTGTGCCTGAGAAATTTATTCATTTATTCAGCAAGTATTTTTTGAGATGCTGCTCTCGCCAGTTCCTCATTAGGCATTCACTCACATGGCACATACACATGGTCAATGTCCTTCATCATCTGTCCTGTGTCCACAGTTCTGTGGAAAATGACCTAAGTTACTACACAAAACGGCCTTCTCAATT